TGGTCTAGGTACAGATTTCTTAGAAGTACAATTAAGTGTTCTGGAATACTCATACTTCTCAATGTTGTCCATAGCTTGTCATGATCCACACAATCAAAAAAGTAGTTTAGGGGTCATCTATGACTCATGAGGAGTCCTGGTGTGGCGCTGTGGGTTAAAGTGCCAGGCTGCAAAGCAGTTTGAACTGCAAGGTTGGCAGTTCAAGCTCACCAGCTTCTCCTCAGAAACCCTATACAGGGTTGCTATGTGTCGGAATCGGTTCAACGGCACTTAACAACAACAACAATGAATCATGAGCAAAGGGATAGGGATAGAAAATACACCATTCAAAACAATGGCAAGGGACTGTGATACCTGATCTGTTCAGGGGTCCCTCCTGATGTGGCATTGGTGATGGCCCAAGTTGCTTCTTTTCTTGTACGGAACTCTGCTTTCTGAAGGATTTCGATCAACACAGGAAAGATATTTGCATCTATGACAGCCTGAGAGAGGATATGAGGATGGTGTCTTAGAGGATAACAACTTCAAGCACCTTTTCAAGGCTTCAACTTTGAGAAAGCAGATCCAGCCCACAAGTTAGGTAAGACTTAGATATCTCATCCCCATCCTGAGGAAGTTCATCTGTTTTTCCCACATAGGTGACGAGCTACAGAGGAATTGGCATCAGCTACAGAGAATCTTTGATCAATAGCACACACTGACCCTATTGTATAGCAAAACCAATCCTTCCTTCTAGAAGCAAATATCCCACAATCTCCCATGTTCCCAAGCTTATCAACATCCAGCACCTCTAACTTTATAGCTTGTTCTACCTGTATTTGAGCTCTGTTGCCAGCAGTGATGTTTGAAATGGTCCAGCAGGCTTCCTTCCGGATCGACTCCTTCGGGCTGCTCAACAAATGGAGAAGGCAAGGGAGGGCTGAACAGTTAAGAATGACCTAGAAATTGAGAGTGTAGGTTTGAGTGAGACTGTTCACCTGTAAGAAACCTGTGAATCCTACAGAATTATACCAGCTGCTTAAGACCCAAAGAAAATCTTGCTTTCTTTGCCCTGACTGGGGGCATCAGTTATTAACACAAGACAGTGTTCTTGGGACCCTAATGGTTTAGAAAGATTTCAGCATCTCAAAATCACCATGACTCAAAAATTACTATAAACTCCCTTATAATATTCTAGGTACTCAGAGGTCATCTCGTTTAGTTTTTCTAACAAGCACACAATGGATGATTTGTTTCTAATTTATAGAAGAAATGAAGAAAACCAAGTTGTCCATCATCTTTATTCGAATCCAGGTTTCCTTAGACCATGCTGCCTCCTATCAGCAGAGGCAGTTCTCCACACTGCTATCTTACAGCTAGTCTGAGTTAACATCCTACACCCACTCCTCATCCTCACCTGGGTCTGGATGTCATCCCCAGTGACAATGTTACCCACGGCTCGCAGGGCAGGAGAAGCCACTTTGTAATCATTGTGCCTACAGAAGGAGGAAGCAATGATCAGTAAATTCATACTCAGCCTTGCTGAACAACAAGACTGGCTGACAGCATTCTTAGGGCTCCAGGCCTTTGCATAAGACAGCAAATTTGCTGTCTGCAGCTTCTCAGTTTGAGCTTGGAATTTTATGAAATCTGTATGTCTAATGGAAATCACTTACATCAGAAGTTCTACCAATCTCCGACAAACTCCAGAGTCTATGACTGCCTGGATCTTTTCATTGGGGCCATCGGATAGATACGAGAGGGCCCAGCAAGCATCTGCCAGCAAGTCCGAGTCACTGTTGAAGAGTAGGCGAGACAGCACAGGCAAACAAGGAGAGACCTGTTGGAAGCAGAGAGTGAGAGGGATTCACCAGGGGCAGTTCTACCACTAGCCCTAATGTTGTTGCCCCTTCCCTCACAAGAAATTCTGAATCCTGAGATCTCTACTACATTAAACCATCCAGTCTTACCTTTCTACTTTACCATCTAGGTTCACACCAGGCACATTAAGATCACTTTCTTTTCAATCATCTCTTTCAGTACCACATGGGTTTGAGCTGAGGTTCCAAAGACTTAACACATTCCCATGTCTAAATTTTTCACTGAAGGAACCTGGTATTGCTCAGTGGCTGGTAAGTGTTTCTCACCTTTGGAAAGTCTGGGGGCGGATTCTTCCCCCGGCAGAGATTTGACAGGGCCCAGACTGCGTTCCGTGTCATTGTCAGTCGTGTGGACTTGGTAAGGAGTCTGAAGGAAAACAGTAAAGCCAGATCCTGAGCACTGATGTCATGGCACAATGCTGTTGCTAACAAATCATGGAGGCAAACCCTAACAGACCACTGAGACTTGAGTAGCTGCTCTATTCCTTCCTCCCCAGAAATCTATGTTAAGATCAGGAAGTCCACCTAGAGTGGTGCAGCGGACTGGGACCAGCTGTGGATAGTTAAAATCATAGTTAATAAGGGCTAAATAGAGGGCTGAGGAAGTCTGCAAAAATTTTAAGATAGGACATACTGTGTCCCTAACTCTGGCTACAAGTCTTGGACAAAGAGTACTGTTCTCTTTGGAAATAAAAGCTGAGGTCCACTATGAAGGCTTTAGTCATGCAGTAAAGAATGATTTTTCTCTGAAGGGCCCTAGAAAGAATGATAGAGCCATGAGATTGTAGTCTGAAGAATAGTTCATCTATATGATGACTTTGTTTAAATGTAGTTTTAATTTAAAGGCAGGGATGGGAAGAAACAGGAGAAGGGTCTAAATGACCCCTTTCTTTAGTCTGTGGCTCGCTAAATTATAACGGACCTGCCCAGTGGACGTATGATCTAACCCTTTATAGCAAATCAATGCAGTTTGTAGGGACTGTTGTATTTTTCCAGATGGGTCAGTAGTGCCCCTTTCCCCTGGCTCAACAATGGGGCAGGTATGATCAGCTTCCCCCAAATTCCAGTCACATGGTGCAGATGATTATAATTACTTACGTTAACAAAGGATTAAGGATAGAACAGCTCAGGACGTAATCTCGGCAAACGGAGCTGTCTCCAGCTATGTTTCCCAGTGCCCAGACTGCCTGAAAAGAGGACGGTGGAACTGTTACATGCAGAGCTTCTGTGAGTACTTTCTAGTCCTAACTACATAGTGAGTACCACGGCAAAGAACCTCATCAGATCCTGATACATTAAACAAGCTCAGGTGCCCTTCCTGTTGAAGTCCTTATTGAGCATTTATTGATCTTTCCCCTGGGGAGTTCCTGGTTTAATGACAAAGACAGGCTGCCATCTGTACTAAAGCCAGAGAAGCCAAACCAAGACCCTCCTGTCCTTACCCAAATAAGGAAAAAATTATATTCTTGGACCAACTCTATATGGAGTAGAAATTCCAGTACCATTCTCCACTTTTACCCAACTAGCAAGAATCCAGTGGAGAGATAGAAGCTGTTAGTCTACCTCAACAACTTGTGGGTACTGAGCAATCGGTTCCAACAAGAAAAGAGCCAAATCAGATCGTTACCTGTTCCTGTACGTCCTCAAAGTCTGAGTTAAGCAGCTCTATGAAAATGGGGACAGCTCCTGCTTCGATGACAATTTTGGTCTGCTGAGAGGTTCCAGAAGCAATATTTGTTAGAGCCCAGGCAGCTTCAAACTGAAAGACATTAAGGCACCATTGAGAGGTTATTCCAGATAGAGAAGTGATGCCTACAGTAAGCTTCCTGGCCCTGGCTCATAAAACCCACCACAAAAAACAAAGCTCTCCTCCTTTAAAGTGACTGGAAGAGGTTATTAACAGTAATATGACAGGGTGTGAAGACAGAGCATTATGGTCCCAAGGTCTTGTCCTGCACTACGGCACAGCATCCACGAGTCTTTTGGCAAGTAATTTTATTGCTTAGGCTTCACTGTCTTTATTTCTGAAACCAGGATTAGAGCGAGATCATTGTCTCAAAATCCCTTCCAGCTGAGTCTCTAGATTGACTCATCACCTGTCTGAGAAAAGAGATGCAGAGAGGCTCAATAATCTGCCCAGTTAGAAGTGAAACTATGACTACAACTTCTGATTTATAAGTGAGTGATCAGTTTGCCATATTCTGATAACTTTTCTTTGCGATTATGTGATTAAGAGATTTTAGCTCTTCAAAGGGCTATCTAATCCTATTGTCTATTTTCTGAGAGCTGCATCTACAGAAACACACCACTGCAATCTTGTAGAAGAGGGGCTTCAATCTGGCACCACTCACCATCATTCCAGACCTCACCTGTAATGTACAATTCTCATTCCTCTTCAGAAACTCCACAAACCTATCCACCACTCCTGGAGTGTTGATGACTTCATCTATTGGGGGACTAGGCTCTAGAAAGGGAGGGAGATGAAAAGACAGGAGAGCCTTCACTAGGGTTCTGGTCACCATCCTTCCTTGATGTTCTTGACCATCCCTAAAACCATTTACAAACACTTTTCTGATGAAATGGCTTTAACAATAGCTGCTCATCTTTGAGCTATATAATGTAGGTAAGATGCTAAAAAGTAAAGTCAGTCCTAATTTTGATATGCTCAATTTGAGCTTACTGAATCTAAGCAAAGAATTATAAGGGACAGAGGAAAGCTCAAGGGATAAATAAAAACTATAGTGTATACATTTTCTTTTAAAACCAGCTTTTTTCTTGGGAGGACTGCTGGATACAGCAATATAAGGTATTCTTGTATTATATAACACAGTTTTTTGAACACCTACTATGTGCCATACTGTTCTAGGTAGGGAAGATACAGTAGTAAATAAAACTGACAATCTCTCCCTTCACAGAGCTTATATCCTAATGGGGAGAGATATTCTATTTATTATATTAGAAGGTAGTAAGTATAATGGGGGAAAAAAATGAGTAGAATCGTATATGGCGATCAAACTTGCTGCACGGGTTGAGGGTGAGCTTACAACTTTGAGTAGGGTATCAGGGCAAGCTTTGTTGGGAAGGTAGGATCATAAAAATGAAGGAATTGCCCCACAGACATCGGGAAGTAGAGGACATCAGACAGGAAACAGTCACATGAATATGTGGGAATATGGCATGTCCAAGGAACAGCAAGGCTGGTTAAGGTAGGAGCAGAGTGAGTGACAGGGAGAGTAGCTGATGAAAGTAGTGAGAAAAAAATTGGAGGCTAAGTCATGTAGTGCTCCTCTGAGGAGGGCCAACCAGGCTTTGTACCTTTGGAGAGCAGTTTCCGGAATTTCTGTGTGGTTGCTAACTGCAGATCAGAATCATCAGAAAACAGCATCTCTACCATCTCTCTTGTGATCACACCCTCCTAGAACAGAAAACACATTAACAACTTTACAAATCAATAACAGAGCCATATGTGAGCACACAATTCTGCCTGGCATCCTGCTTTAGAAAACCTTAAGGGTAAAATGATGGCCTAACATAGGGTCAGGAGAAGGAGTTTGTTTAATCCATGACTGCTTCAAGATGGGGCAGTTGAAAGTGATTTCTAACCTCTGAGGCAACTGAGGTTTCCCTTAAAGATTTCCTCAGGTACCTCTATTAGAGATAAATGATTGTTGGATCCCTAAGTTGACCAACTACAAATGTCCACAGAAAACAGAATTTTGTATGGTTATCATCAAAGCTACTATGTGATGGGAACAACGCAATTTCTGTTCTCTAGAAGCAAGCACTCCCCAGGTCTGCCTCACAAGCACCTTACCCCAGTAGTAGAGCTCACATAGGAGTCCATGAGAAGACTATCAAACATGGCAGCTTCTTCATTAATCAACTCAACATTTCTCCGTTTAAAAAGCTGAAAGTGAAAAGACACTGGTAAGACTACCCATTGAACCTAAGAATCAAAACCAAAAACACAAAAAAGCAAACAAAAATAATCCAAAACAACAACTGAAAACAAATCCAAAGAACAAGTCAATGTTAAATTCTGGTATAATTGTTAAGGAAATGCTAAAGTGATTGAAAAAACTGACACATATGTTTTACTGACATGGCAAGATAGTTAAAAGCTTTACTTTTTTAAATTGTAGCTACATGTTCACATTGTTTGAGGCAGTACTTTTATCAGCAGGAAAAAATTTAAAAGAAAGTTTTACCTCCTTTGTTTAAAAACTGATGGATATAAAAAGCTTTGGAGAAAAAGAATAGTAGTATGCCAAGAGGACGGGTAAAAGCAGGTTAGGTGATTGATGCCTTGCCCAGATCTAGATTCAATTTAGTCTGGTAGTGGGGGTACGGTGAGAGTGTAGATGATGAGGCATTAATATAGCTTAAGTCCTAGAGGGATTTACAAAGATCAGAAACTCAACAAAGTAGAAGTAAGGCAGCCTAGAATCAGTCTCTTAAAGGCCCAGAATCAGAGATGGGCCTTGAAGTCCAGGCCTAACACTGACTAAAGGGCGTAGAAGTAAGAAGGCAACAAGGGACGAGAACTAGAATGTTATAATGAAGACACAAATGATGTCTAAGTTGGCCTAACTTGCAGAAAAGGGACAAAGGGACAAAGCTTATTCTCAGAGCTTCCAACATTTCTGCTACAACAAACAGATGACTGGTTCACAGAACTAAAGTTACTCTTCTGAAGAGCGTATACGGTAGAGGTCAGCTATGAGGAGGCTTCAGAAAGTTTGTGGAAAAATGAAATTGAAAGATAATGGAGACAAGACACTACACTCTCCCACCAGACGTCTTCTCCTCTGATTGCTCTGCATATCCACCTGTCCGTGCCCACCATGGCGACCATTCAGCAGCTGATAAGAAGATGGCGTCTGGTAGACAGCAAAGGCTTTGATGAATACATAAAGGAAATAGGAGTAGGCATGGCTCTATGAAAAATGGATGCAATGGCCAAGCCTGATTGTATCATCTCTACTGATGGCAAAACCCTCACCATCAAAACTGAAAGCACTTTGAAAACAACACAGTTTTCTTGCAACCTGGGAGAAACTCAGACTGTCTGCAACATTACAGATGGCGCTTTGGTTGAACAACAGGTGTGGGATGGGAAGGAAAGCAAGATAACACAAAAACTGGAAAATGGGAAGTTAACTGTGGAATGTGTTATGAATGATGTCACCTGTACTTGGACCTATGAAAAAGTAGAATAAAAATCCCATCTTTACTTTGAATAGGAATTAGCTGTGAGAATGAACAAGCTCAGTTTAATGACCAAATCTCTACATTGTTTTGTTTTTTGGGTTGTTTTTTTTCCATTACTATGTTCAATTATTTCTCTCACAAACATTTACATGCAGCTGTTTCAAAGTGTTGGTTTAATTAGGATCATCCCTTTGGTTAGTAAATAAGTATGTTAGTGCAAAAAAAAAAAAAGAAGATAATGGAATTTTTTCCCACAAACTTTATAAAGCTCCCTCAAAATAGTATGTTTGAGAATATTTAGGTTAACCCACTTGTTGCTCCCGCTTCTGTTTCCGGAGCTGAATGCCCTCTTCCTCTCTTCTTCGCCTCATTTCCTCAGGGTTTAGGGCATTGTTCTTATAGCTCTTCATTCGATAATTGTCTTTCCCTGGGCTCGCCATGGTCTCTAGCAAAAGGGAAGATAAAAATACACTGTAAAGATCTTTCAGAAAAGAGCATTTCCTTTTCATTGGGCTTCTGTTCCTACTCACCCTCCTCTCCTACATAGAGAAGGATCACAGCTCTCAAGGAGACCTAATCATCTCAATGGCAGCATCAAACAATTCTAGAACCCCATCAACACAAACACACACTCCCTTTAATCATAGGTGACATTGCAGAATTGAGAGACATTGGTGGGTCAGTGCTGCCTTCCATGTGGGAGATGCAGACCAGTTTCTAACAAATGCACCTCATATACAGCCATCACACATCTGCTAGTGGTGGATTACCTGTTGCTTTGATGCCTAACAGGTTTCAGTGTAACTTCCAGAATAAGACATACTAGGTAGAAAGATATGATAATCCAATCTGTACTGATAGTTGGGATGATGTAGGACTGGGCAATATTAGGTTGTTGTGCATTGGGACACTGAGTGAGGGGCTTACTTGACATGACAGCAGTTAACAACACCAAAATTATAGAATTGGTATAGCAGAGTAGTGAATAGGCAGAAGGCCTCCTGAAGGAAGCTACACTGCCTGAGATCAAACCCTGGCTCTTGCTAGCTGTGGAACCTTGAACAAGTTACTTTAATATCTTTATGTTTCAGGATCTCATCCTTAAAACAAGGACATAATATCATTACTTCATAGAGTTTTAGATGGATTATATAGATTAATCCATGTTATATATTATATAGCTTAATCAATTATAATACTTAATACATATTAAGTCCTTCTTAGAACAAGTTATGATCACCCTTATTTAACTAGAGAAAACAGTTACATATGATTTGCCCCAGTAAAGTCAGATATAGGAAAATACCAAACCAGCTTAAATATGAGAGGCTTCAAAAAATTTTGTAGAAACGCCATTACGTTTTCACTCTATTTTTCCATGAACTTTCTGAAGACCCCTCATACATTATTGGATGACCAATTCAGTGGAATGCTATGTAGTTTTATTCCTATCAAATTTAAATTTATCATGTAGTATCTGTACATAAAGGATAAAGCATATGTAAATTACCAAGCAAAACAACACATTGCATACCTGTGAACCCCTCACCAATCTCAAAATGAAAACATTACCAATATGCCTGAATCAGATGACAGACTCTTCTATCCCCAGCCGACTCCAGCCAAAATAAAACTATTCTGAATTGTTAGCTTTGCTTTTGCTTTTATTTATCACACATATGTTGTTATTAAGTGCTGTCAAGTTCTTTCCAACTCATAGAGACCCTGTATAGGGTTTCTGAAGAAGGCTGATGGGTTTAAACTTCCACCCTTGAGATTAGCAGTTCAGTGCTTATGTGCAGCACACTATATATATGTGCCGTGTAGTCAGTTCCGACTCATAGTGACCCTGTACAGGGTTTATGAGGCTGTAAATCATTATAGGTGCAGAAAGCCTCATCTTTCTCCCACGGAGCAGCTGGTAGTTTCGAACTGCTGACACTTGAGGTTTGCAGCCCGATTCGTAACCACTATGCTACCAGAGGTACTTTCACACATATGAATATCCGAGTCCTGGTGTGGCACTGCAGGATAATACACTGGACTGTTAAGGTCAGTTTGATCTACAAGGTTGTGATTCAAATCCACCAGCCACTCCTTAGAAACCTTATACAGTGTCGCCATGAATCAGAACCAACTCAATGGAACTTAACAACTACCACAAATAATTACATATCCCAGAGACTTCTTCCAAGATGGAGGACTAGGCAGACAAACTACATGGACTGTCTACAACAAAGATATGAGAGACCAAATAAAACAGACACAGACAAAAATTCTGGCACCCTGAACCTCAGAAGAAAGGTAGAGAGATGGACAGAATGCTTGCTGGGAGAGGAGGCCGAGGAGGTTGGTGAACAGCTAGCCAATGCAGTTTGATCATCTTGTGAACAGCTTTGGAAGCAGAGGGAGGTGTGGCAGAGCAGATTCATATGGATGACAGAAAAAGTACCATTTCTTCTTTTCCCTCACACTTCCCTGGTGACCAGAGGTGTGGCCAGTTCCCACCCTCATCCACTTCCAGCACAGATCCCACTCTCTGGGAGTTCACAGTCATGTGGTTGAGAGCCATGCTAATGTGATGTGGTGGCCATCTGTACATCTGGTGCCTCAATTCAGGTGGGCTCAGTTCGAGACCTCCAAAACCCACAGAGCCACCAGAATAGCATTTAACCAGTCATGCTGCCTCCAGCTTCCTAACAGACAATGAATCCAGCTCCATCAAGGGCTCCCATGAATTATTCCCATGAATTATTTTCTGATCGAGTGCCTTGAACATAGGTAACACAGAGGCCAATAGGTGTGCTATCTAGGGCCAGCAATTCTGTTGTCACATCCCTTCCGCAACCACCTCACAAGTTCCTTGAATTACAGGATTCTGCCCCCACCCCCAGGTTTCTCCCCTCAGGGTCCAACAACTACACTGTTTTTACAAATATGACAACCACACAATGCCCCAGAGAAAACAGACAATTTTAGCTCACACAAAGAAACAAGAGAGAATGGCTCAAATATGCAGAGCCAGAAAACATTTCTGAGGAAAAGGAAGTAACTGAAAAAGAATTCAAAAGAATGATAATTAAGTACCTTCAATAAATTGACAGGAAGATCCAGGAAAACACGGAGAACACAGAAAAAACGTTAGAAGAATTCAGGAAAACACTACAAGAACAAACAGACAAAATAAATGCAAATTTTGAAACAATACAAAACTTGTAATTAGAAATCCAGACGATTAATACTAAGACCTCAGAAATGGGAAATACATTGAAAGGGCAAAGGAGTAGATGGGAAGCAATGGAAGCCCCTAATTACTGTTTGCTATTCTATTCTATTGGACTTCTGGTGTGGCATTGCCGGTTAATGTGGTAAACTGCAATGTTGGTGTGGGCCGTTAAGGCCAGCAGTTCTAACTCACCAGCTGCTCCTTGGAAACCCTGTACAGGGTCGCTATGAGTCGGATCCCGACTTGACAGCACTTAACAACAACATTCTATTATGTGATTGTATAAATACACTGTAATTTATACACTTTTGCACCAGTTTTTTCCCTCAAAGTGACTTACTGGCTTTTAAACATTTTAATGCAGCACAGATTTGCCCAATGCAATACACCATTTGATATTTTGACTGCTCCCATAAAACAAGAGGTTTAAAATCAGGAAGGGTATGTACCAGGGCTTTCTTTTTACCATACTTATTCAAACTATATGCTGAGCAAATAATCCAAGAAACTGGATTATATGAGGAAAAGTGTAGCATCAGGAATGGAGAAAGATTCCTGCAATATGCAGATAACAATATTGCTTGCTGAAAGTGAAGAGGACTTAAAATATGTACCTATGAAGATCAAAGACCACAGCCTTCAATATGGATTGCATCTCAATGTAAAGACAACAAAAATCCTTACTACTGGACCAATAAATATCATCATGACAAATGGAGAGAAGATTGAAGTTGTCACAAACTTCATTTTGTTTGTATCCACTGTCAACACTCATGGAAGCAGCAGTCAGAACTCATCTATAACATCTTTGTGGAAATATTCTTTACTTACTGATTCAATACTGTCAATGGTTATAAGGTTAGTCAGGCTTCCTCGTTTTGAATCAGTTTTAAAAAGTTACGTTATTCTAGGAAAATACCTCTTTTTATTGGGAAAAAAATCTGTATTAACATAAAGTTTATGGTATTTTTTAAAATATCTCTCTAGTTATCTGTTGTTGTTGTTGTTGTCAGGTGCCATCGAGTCGGAATCGACTCATAGTGACCCCATGCACAGCAGTCCGATCCTGGGCCAACCTCACTACCACTGCCACACTTGACGCCATCAATGATGCCACCTGGCTGATCCATCTCATTGGGGGTCTTCCTCTCTTTCTCTGACCCTACATCTTACTCAGCATGACATCCTTCTCTAGCGACTGCTCCCTCCTGACAATATGTCCAAAGTATGAGAGACGAAGTTTAGCCATCTTGGCCTCCAAGGAGCACTCTGGATGCACCTCTTCCAAAACTGATCTATTGGTTCTTTTGGCAGTCCATGGCACTTTTAGTAATCTCCTCCAACACCACAATTCAAAGGCATCAATTCTTCTACGATCTTCCTTATTCACTGTCCAGCTTTTGCATCCATAGGAGGTTATTGAAAATACGATGGCTTGGGTCAGGCGCACCTTAGTCCTCAAGCTGACATCCTTCCTCTTCGACACTTTAAAAAGTTCCTGTGCAGCAGATTTGCCCAATGCAATACGTCGTCTGATCTTTTGACTGCTGCTTCTATGAACGTTGATAGTTGATCCAAGAAGAATGAAGTCCTTGACAACTTTAATCTTTTCTCCGTTGATAAGAATGTTGTTTATTGGTCCAGTGGTGAGGATTTTTGTTTTCTTGACATTGAGATGCAATCCATATGGAAGGCTGTGGTCTTTGATCTTCATCAGTAAATGTTTCAAGTCCTCTTCACTTTCAGCAAGCAAGGTTGTATTATCTGCATATTGCAGGTTGTTAATGAATCTTCCTCCAATCCTGACGCCACGTTTTTCTTCATAGAACACAACTTCTCGTATTATTTGCTCAGCATACAGGCTGAATAAGTATGGTGAAAGAACACAACCTTGTCGCACACCTTTCCCAATTTTAAAACATTCAGTGTTCCCATGCTCTGTTCGAACAACTGCTTCTTGGTCCAGGTACAGATTTCTCAGAAGTACAATTAAGTGTTCTGAAATACTCATACTTCTCAACGTTGTCCATAGCTTGTCATGATCCATACAATTGAAAGCCTTTGCATAGTCAATAAAGCATATCTGTAGCTATGTCCTTTTAAATTCTAATATTGTTTGATTTGTGGCCTCTTTAGTTCTTTTTTAAAAATAGTGATACAAAATAATATTTAATAATGAACAAAGCTCACCCATCAGAAAGACATACACGTATATGC